GGAACGTAAGTTCTACACGTTTTGGATACTTTTCGTATAGGCCTTTCTTCTGTGTCACGTTGCATAGTGACTTGGGTAATGTCTTTTGTAAGAGAACAGTGTCTCGATTAGTTTGATATGCATTTTGATCTGCACCATATAGCTGCACTAGGTGGGTAAAAATATTATTCCAGGGGGGTAACGCTATGATTTCAAATAGCAATCATAACGAATTTTATACCAAATTAAAGCGCGTCAAAAACGGGATTTAGCAGTAGTAAATAGTAAGGGATATGGAAACTTTTCTATGTTGAACTGAACCAATTTTTGAAATATAATGGCGATACTCTGTAAATAATGAATCATTTGACCAAAATGGAATTGTTTTTCCTACATATATCCGTCGATTTATCGGTGTTATAAGGATTCAACGTGCTTCAAGGCTGAAACTACGATTATTTTTTTCTTTCTATTGTCTTTTATCTCTCTGAAATGTGAATAATGATGTATTGGAATTAAACTAGAAACGATAAAACAGTGCACATTTATATTCTTCTAAGTGACTTGCTCGTTTGCACTCATTTTTCGTTTCTGTTCTTTCGCATAGTATTAATGTTATAGAAGAAAAATAATTTTCTTTCTTTTTCCAAGAATAATGACTCGTGATAGCAGTTAATCAACATTGTTTTTTCTCATTCCTATTTTATCTTAGAAATTTCTCGAAAAAGAATTTTAAATGTTCGTAAGACCTTATATAAAGTTATTAGTGATAGACAAACTCTATAAATAGAAAAAATATACCAAATCGATTGATCAGTTAAATTTATTAATTGAAAATGGCTGGTACTTACGACAACGAAGAGCAAAGAATGGTCGATAGAATTAAATGCATCGCTTTTCGTGAAGCTCGCAATGAGGGTGCAACATTTATTAATCGACAATGGATTGCACAGAAAATTCATCGAACTACTCGATTTGTTACTGAGTGGCGGGAGAAATCATATGATGAATGTTTTGCTGATTATTCGAAATCTGGTCGTAAACTGAAGTTATCAGAAGCGAGTAGCGATATCATTCTGAACGCCAGTGGCAAGCAAGGGAAAAGCTCTTATATTGTGGCGAAAGAAATTGCAGAAAAGCAAAACGAATATGTTGTTCGAAAAACCATCGATAATTATCGTTCCAGAGAAGGACTAAAGCCTTTTCATGTTATTCCAAAACCGTTAAAAACAGAAACTCATATTTCTAATCGATTGTGGTTCTGCGATTGGTTAAAAGACTGGACTGAAGAAGACTTTCTACACCTTGCGCCATCAGATGAATTTTATGTCTGGATCGTTCGCAGACCAAATTATCAAAATGATCGAGTCTGGGCAAAAAGTATTGAAGATATAGAAGACGATGAAAGATATCGTGAAATGGTTAAAAATCAAGTGTGTATTGGGATTTTTGGGATTTTTACTGCCAAAAAGTTACGTTGGGTTATCAAAGACAAAGGTGAATCTTGGACGGGCTAATATTTTCGTGATATAATTCTAATGCAACATGTGATACCATTTCTAAAAAATGAAGAAAATGTTATCGATCCGGATGAAGTAATATTTGTCCATGACAAAGCACCATGCATGCGAGCAAATATGACTCAACATTTGCTTCAAGACAATGACATCAAATTCTGGGGAAATGACACTTGGCCCGGAAACTCGCCTGATCTGAATGTAGCTGAACATATTGGAACAGTAATTAAAAATGAAGTTGAAAAAAAAAATGCTATCAGAAACGGAACATGATCGTTATCGAGGAGAAACTTTGAAGAAACACATTTCAGATGTTTTGAAAAATATGAAAACGGATATTGAATTATTTGAAACTCTCTTATGTTCGTATCTGTCACGTCTTCGTGCTCTAAAGAATGCTAACGGTCGTCATACTGATTATTGATTATATTCACTGAACTTTAATAAAATAAAATTTTTTTTGTCATATGTCAACATTTGAAAACAGATCTAGTTTAAATTGTCTCATAACTCTGATTTTCTGCGACAACACAGTATAGTATTTTTGAAAATTGCTTCAATTTAATACAGAAAAGTTTCCATATTCCTTACTATTTAGTACTGCTAAATCCCGTTTTTGACACGCTTTAATTAGGTATAAAATTTGTTATGATTGCTATTTGAAATCATAGCGTTACCCCCCTGGAATAATATTTTTACCCACCTAGTAGAAATTGAAAAATTGTTTACTAGGACTTTGATTTGTGGGTTATGACGTGGCTTTTTAAGACTCGAAAATTCAGTTTATACGAAGAAAATTATATGATTTTTGCTGTTATAGTCACCTTTATTACATATGCTATATTGCCGGCTTTTTTGCATAGAGTTTCAGAGCAATCGTTTAGGAATGACCGAATTCATTTTGCAAGCTTGTTCTCCATAGAAATCGAGAAGATTGCCTAAATTAATGCGGCGTCACTTACAAAAACACTTTCTGCTAATAAAATGACTTACGAGGAAACTTCTTCAACTATCCTCTTCCAATTTCCATAATCTTTTGTCTATGGATACTGCATAGTGTTCTAATGCAAAGTCTGAAATGATTTGAATTCCTATTGATATTTCACTTAGATATCGAGTTTTTAATGACCTGTTTGTTTTTAAAAATTTCAGATTTTC